GTGATTAAGAAACATAACACTATCTTCAGTCCTAATAATCAGATTGAAAACTATTGTATACAATATAGCATTTCTCAAATTCCATGAAAACTATTAAAAAAGGATATACTGAATGCAATAGAAGGTGTAAAACTCATTTCTCAGAATACAAAAGCAAAAAAAAACAAGGAATGCTATCAAAAGAGTCTTGGAATAAAAATGTGATAACTTACATAATGATCAAAGAAGAATGGTAAACTCATTGACTGATAGGGAGTGGATAAAATAATATTGGATAGGATAAAGGTTAAAGATGGAGAAAATAAATATATAATTATCAAAAAGAGAAAAATCAAAAGTGAAATAAGAAGATATTATTATGAGATATTCAAAAAATGAAATGCCAATTTTGACAGCCTTATAGAAGATTGGAAATAAGAATATAATCTTAAAGGTTATATTAAAAAAAGGTGATATAAAGATCTACTAAAATCAATTTTCCAAGAAGAACTACATAAAATGTTTCAAGGACTTCCCAATAATAAAGCCTTAGAAAGATTACAAATCAGCTATGAAATGCTAAAATAACTAGGTCAATAAGAAAAAGAATATCTTAAAAAGATGCTTAAATACTTTCTAAGGTGAGAAGATATTCCAATAGAATAGAAGCTAAGCTATATATATCCTATAACAAAGTCAAAACCATGGAAATGTGAACTCCTCAACACCAGATCAATAGTGTTGCTGAAGGTCACATAAAAATACTTCACCAAAATCCTCATAAACAGATTGAGAAATATCTGCAAGATTAATAATATCCTAAGAGAACTTAATTATACAGGATTATCAGAGAAAGTATAGCAGAACTGATTTAAATTCTCAATAATATTTGTGAAGAAGCAAGAGAAAATAAAACGGAGTTATGAATACTTTTTTAAAACATAACAAAAGTATATGATACTATTAGATTGAATATATTAATCAAGGCAATAAATAGAATCAAGATACTAGAAGGCTTTATTCAAATCATAATGGGTATATTTCAAAATTGAAAATTTAGAGATATATTTGAAAAAGATCTAATTGAAATAATCATAGCAGAAGATGGGATTTATCAAGGAGAAATCATCTTATCACTAATGTGAAGAATATTCTATAACTATTTATTGTGTAAGATTTAGAATAATAAAACAAAATTCTACAAAATGTCAGTGGCTTGAGATCCAGAGTTAAAGAGAAACACTAAAAGAAAGCTAGAGTCAAGACATATAGCTATTGCATTCCTAGATGATACAATATAAATAGCAAGATCCAAAGAGGATATGGAAAAGATTCTGGAAGAAACAAGAATCTTTTATAGGACAAATAATTCACAGATTAATAGTAGCAAATCAGTATTAATTACTTTTAACAACCCCAACCAATATTCAGAAAAGGTCCAAGCAAGGGTCGACAAAAAAGTAGTTAGAGAATTGGATAGAGCTGAATAGATAAGATTCCTAAGAATCTGAATAGGCAATCAGAAATCTGCTATCAAGCTTAAAAAATAGATACTTAAAAAATTAATATAGTTATCAAGTCTTTAAAGAACAAAAAGTTAATTGATAAATAAGAACTTTATATTTTGAACAAAGTTTTAATATTTAGAATTAAATTTAATATAGTGTACTATCCTGACAAATATGTAATGCTCTAACAATGACATATAAAAAGCTATTCAAAAATAAGGATACACTATATCAATCTATACCTAATAGTATAGTATATTATCTCAGGATTTACAATTTAAAAAATATTTGGATATTGCAAAAAAAAAGTCAGATAACAAGATTATGCAATAGGTTAAATAACTTAGAATCAACCAGAATCATAACAATTATTAGATTAAAGCAATTACAAATTAAGTACTAGGAACTTCTCAATCTGCTCATATGTAACTCACTAAATTATCTTCTGAAGAGAAGCAACTTTGTATTACAAGTATTGAAACTGACCAAAGATATAGAGATAATCTTTCATAGCTGGAAGTGAAATAATATTTTTAATTAGAGTATCAAAAATAGTTTAATTAAAGATCATTAGACAACAAATAAATATAGTAAAGCTATTTTATCACTTAAACACAATAAGTTAATATATACGAATCAACTTATAAACTATAAAATTAGAAAAATATAGAACTGACAAATGCTTCAACTCTTACAAAAAACAAGTAAGGGGCCTATTTCAAAATAGTACTTGTCAATAGTAAGGAAAATATGAAGAAACAAGCTAGAACAACTCATAAAACCTTGAAAAGAAGATTGGTTAAAGTGGAATTCAGAACATTTAGTACTCAACCTTGATAAAAAATATAAACTTTGAGTAGTCATCAATAGCAATAATTAGTAGCAACAACTTGTTTGGGAAAAATTGATTCTAGATAACAATAAAAGATATATTAAAATAGATCATTTCAAATGTGACAGTTCCAAGGAAAACTTAGAATCAAATCTGATATAATACTAGTACTACCTGAAAAGGATCAAGACTAAAAACTAATGCATAGTAGAATCAAACATAGAACAAATATATATAGTTCCTTATCTTAATACTAGAAAATCTATAAGAAGAGCTCAATTTTTAGAAATCCCTTATTTAAAGGTAGCCCTAGAGGAAACAATAAGTAGAACAATTCATATAGACTCAATGACTATACAATGTGATAGAAGACAATTGAAAGAAGTAGAGATAAAGAACTGGAAGAAAAAGCTTATTAAAAAATATTAAAGAAGGTATGTATCAAATCTATCTGATTGAAATACTCAGATATAACAATGGGGATAATAGCAATAATACAATAACCTTTTACTCTGATGGATCCTTTAATGATTATGGAAATAAAAATATATAATAAGTGCAGCATGAATATAAATTGGAGAAGTAGGAAAAAAAAGCAAGTTTCAATCTTTATTTACAAGAGCAAAACTAGTAGCAATAATCATTATATACTAGTAGTATCAATTAATAGCAAGATCAAGATCTATACTAATAGCCAAGTCCATATTTCCAAATGGAAAACTATAAAAAAGTAGAATCCCAAAAAAACTCACAAAAGATAGCTAAAGGAACAAAATTGATTCTTGTGAATATAAATGTTGAACCTGGTAAAGAAAAAAGAATTAGATCTAAATCTTATGAAGGTTAAAGCACATTTCAATATTCAATACAATGAGAAAGCAAATATTTTAGCCAAAGAAGCATTAAAATTCCTAATAATAAAATAGTAAGATCTGGACTCATCTAAGATTATTACTAAAATCAAATATCAAGATATAGTACTGAATACTTCAATAAGGTAGTTTGTTAAAAAAATCAATACCAAAATAATGATACATCAATAACAAAAAGTATGGTCATCAAATTCAAAACCAGCACAGGTATACATAAGATTTAGTTTAGTAATAAATAAATAATAAGCATGGAATGCCTTTTTCAAAGGATCACAAAGAAAAAACTTTCTTGTTAAGATGATTAGCAATGAGCTATCCATGTTAACAAAGCTAGATACAAGAAGACTAGAAATATATAAGAAAATAGTTCAACTAATGGAAAAAATCTTAAACACTGGTCAGAATATACTTAGTTTCTATATGAGAATGATTGAAAAAGACTTAATAGATAAGATAACTGACTCAAAGTGCTATAGAAAGAGAATTGATAAAGAAGCAAGAAAGTGAATAATAAAGGTGCAGAAAAAAACATATAATTATTTCGGAAAAAATTTTTAGAATATCAGATATGAGAAGGTGATAGAGTGGAAACAGATAGTGGAAATAAACAAAGATGATAAAATCAAAAGGCTGATATATCTATAGAGGCAAAAAAACAAGGCCAAGGTATCAAGAAATCAGTCATATCAAGTATTATTAAAGAAGGAAGAATTAGAAAATATAATACTCAAACAGGTCCTGTGAGATGGAATAAAGTATAGGATGAAATGGTTGAGTTTTAATCTCTATCAGAACTTAAAAGAATGATCTACACTAGTAATCTATAGGCAATAATGTTAGAAGTTAAAAAGATATTTACTTGAACTCCTAACAGAGCAATAAATTATTCCTGAAGTTATATTTAGAAAGGTAAAACAACCAAGACAAGTGAGTTAGTTAAGAATTAGTTTTAGCATCTTATATTATATGTATAGCTTATAAATATTTAATAAAGTATATGTAACTAGCCTGACAGAGGGCAAAAAAAAAAAAATTAAATAAAATTAAATAAAGATATAATTTTTATCATAATAAAATTTTTGATTATTTTATTTTTAAATATTAGAAATTAATTTAAAACATTTTTTTTCTAAAAATGAATAAATAAATAAAATCATTATTTTGCATAATAAATTTGAGTTGAATTATTTGAAAAAAAAAAAAAAAAATTCTAAAATAGTTTTGATGATTTTTTGTTAAAAAAATTTTCTTTTAATAAGTAAGTTTAAAATTTAAATGCAGTAATTGAAAAATTTCATTTTTAAATCCAAATCAATTATTAAACTTATGATAATATATCTTGAAAAGAACTTCAAGTAACTTACTTTTAAATTAAAAGTAGTTTATTTGTTTATAAATTATAACAAAAGAATAAAATTTTATCAATTAAAAAAAGGAAAAATTTTCTAAAAATAATAATAATAATAATATAATAATAATAATAATACAACGACAAAAAAAAAAAAAAAAAAAAAAAAAAAAAATTGACAATGATAGTTAGCGTAGTAAATAATCTTATTCTCTAAATCAGGGTCCAATACCTCTACCATAGATTTCTGAAATTATTTTAAGAAAATCTATAATAAATAAATTGAACATATTAATTTATGATTATAAGCATATGTTACAAAAATACAACTCAGTGATTGCATGAAATAAAAGAAATGTAATATATCTTAATCATATTGTTTGACCTATTACGATATAAATTGCATGCTTATAGAGTGAAAAGGACGTGGTGTTCCTTGAGGAATATTAAAAAATATGCTCTTAAAAAAAATCTTTTTTCAGCATATCGCCTGCGAAGTCACGATCCCCAAGGAGCATATATTTCATGTAATCTCCATCCCCAAGGTCATCGATTTCGACAAAGTCACTATCCTCGGGGTTATAACATGGGAACTGATGTTGCATGTAATCATTCTCAAAGTTATTGTCGATATTTTCAAAGTTACCATCCCCGAGGTCGTTGCTTTCGAGATTGATATCTTCAATGATATTATTCTCAAGGTTCTCGCTTTCGAAATTTACACTAAAGTTTCCATTCTCAGGGTCATTGCCTGCATTGGAATATTCTGGGTTATGATATTCGGAGTTTTCATCATTGGGATTATCACTAGTGCCTTCGAAGATACCATCTTCGAAGATATCATCTTCGGAGTTTTCATCATCAGGATTGTCATCGGTGCCTTCAAAGATGTCATCTTCGGAGTTTTCACCATTAGGATCTTTATCCCTGGTGCCTTCAAAGATATTATATTCGGAGTTTTCCTCATTGGGATTTTTATCACTGGTCCTTTCAACATTCTCGGAAATAATATTTGATTTACCATCGTCATTTGTGAGATTATTGCTGACATCGAGGTTGTTATCTGAAGATTTTCATAAAAAATAACATCTTTAGTGTTTTCAAAATTACGTAACACTGTGCATTGTTTGCAATATAGTGAAAATATTAGACATTTTGACGTACTATTAGTCGACTGTTTCCTCTTTCGACCAGGCTTCCCCCTAGGTTCATAAATACAAGCAAAATTTTTTTCGCGGCATCTTTTACAGATATTATACCCGACACAGTCCAATTTATTGTTTTTGCAGTTATCGCAAATATTTGTTTCTTCTGAACGTTCGCATTTTTCTGCACATCCCGCTGAAACACAGTTATGACATATTGTAATACACTTACAACGCTTTTTTCTGCAACTTTTACAAGCATTTTTTTTGTATTTTCTGCGAATCCTTTTACTTTGATTCCTACGCGCGACTTTTATATACTTGTTGCGAGTCATTGGCTTTGTACTTTTTTTGACTTTGTATTTTATTATTATTATTATTATTATTATTATTATTATTATCGATTTTTTGTTTAAATAAAAAGAAAAGCGAACTGTAGCACAGTATACTTAAATATTAATTAGCGGAGTATAACTACCTATGAAAAATATTCCTTTTGTTTCAATTATTTCTCTATAGCGGAATAAAAATTATTTGTCAAGGGTCTGTTTGGAGATGGAATATATGCGTTTCCCGAGCTAGATTTCTTCCGTAGAAGAAATATTATAATTGTGTATATAAAGATTTAACTGAATTCGAATAATCACCGTGCAGGTTTATTTGTTACCCAAGAGTACGTACGACAGGAATTCTACGAGTTCTTTCTTTTAGCGAGTCACGTGAGTCAATGCTATTACCATAGAAACAACGTAACATATTTTTTCTTTCTATTTTTCATTTCTATTTTATTTTGTTTCTATTTTTCATTTCTATTATTTTTCATTATTTCGATTTTTTCTTTTTCCATCTATTTTTTTTTCATTTTCCATTTTTTTTTTTTTTCGTTTCCTTTATTATTAATTATTATATATTGTTTAGTTTTTCTTTCTGTTCTTTTCTTCCATTCTTTTATTTTTTTCCATCTTAAATTAATTTTATAATAGGTGCCCATATTTTATAATGATAGTGCATTTGATTTATAAAGTTTGTTCCCGGTTATGTAGATATTTTTTAAGAAAAATTTTAATGTTAATAACTTTGCTAATATAAACAATGGATAAAAATAAACCCGAAAACGGGAACCGTTGTCGAGTCCAAAGCTAAACTTGATTATTTTACGAACACGTCATATAATTGGCTAGCGAGTTATATCATCGATCACCTGATAAGTGAGCGGACGGACGGAAATTTTTGTTAACGTGCCTATATAGTCCTTCGCTTTGCTTCGGACTGATAAAAATTGAAAATGCATTACCCAAAAAATTTATATTTATTTACATATAATTTTGTTATGAAATTTAAGTTAATTAGATTTATAATAATGATATAGTAATAATGTTATTATTATTAGCGTAAACGGTAATATTTTAATTTGTTTCTTATATTTACGTCATAAAATTGTTACTGACTTTTTCGCCGGAAGATGTATTTCAAAATGAATAGAATGCCGATAATTTGCAGAACAATTGATTACTTGACAGTATCTAAGAGGTGGTAGACACCAAGTCTGTGCGTCTGATAGAAACAAAAAAACTTAATGACTTTCTATGAACCATTTAACATAACTTATTTTCGGATTATCAATTGATTCTTTGGTTGAAGCTAAGAGCTAAAAGTATTTTATAAAAAGAGTAACTTCAAATTTCATTGTAATCTTAAACGATACTGAAGGATATAAACAAATAATTATCGTATTGGTATTAGTGTAAATGTCTAAATTAATATAAATTAAGTTTACTGTATTGTTACATAGTTTCAATAAGTAAAGTTTGTTGTATCATCACATAGTTTTAATACGAAAACAAGGTTATAATACATACCAATTATTTCCCATTTAAAAGAGTCACAAAAGGGAGAAATTAAATAAAATTGGTCGCAACGTAAATCAAGGTTTACACGTAGATTAAAGGATTTATACAGTAAACTTATTTGGTTTCTATTCATTGTATGCAGTCGAATAAATTGAATTTTTCATTATATGCAAAATAAATTATTACAACAATTACAAACAACTGGAAAAAATTTTAATTTGATCCCTAGAAAACAAAATGGTTACTATAAAAACTCAACAAATAACCATTATTATTATTATTATTATTAGTTTGAACAAATAAACAATAGAATATTATCTGGATCTTACCGTATGTGTGGCTTAAAATGTGCATTCTACGACAAAAAATTATTTATCACGTGCATACTTTCCAATTAAAGTTTCTGAAGACTTGATTCTCGATCATAAGTAATATAAACGTTTATTCTTTGAACCGAAAAAAGCGTAACCATAAATAATTTTTCAAGCAAGTTAAGGGTATTTTATTAGCCCAAATCTTAATACGTGTCAGTTTGCCCTCGTGACTATGAACACAACAAAACTTGTATTTGTAACCATTGTAAATGTCACAGATATGCACGCATAACGAATATCGATAATGATTGGTTCTCAGAAGATGAATGGAATCGTTTTCGGAATATAAAAAAGGCACACCTTGAACGTGTGTTATTTTTAAAACGTTATAACACGTATGTACTTTGTGGGAGAAAATTTTCCTCTAATGACATTTTCTCTGAGATCATATTATAAAAAGAGTCGAGCCACGCAAAATGGAATGTTCGGTGATTATTCACCTACTTCTGACAAGTAAGTACTGTACGTTGTTTTTTTCTCTAATTAAATTTACATCATGTGACAATAGAACCGCCTTTGACGGAATAAAATAGCATTTATTCCACAATGCACACATACGGGGAAAAATAAACCAATTCTTAAAAATGTTCCGCATATTAATTCCCTGTATATCTCAGATATAAATGAAGCCTCTTAGACCTTGCCTTACTTATAATAAACTGGTTCCTAAATACATAATTCCTTGATAATTCAACTTCGCAAAAATACTTATATTGCTTGCGAAGGTTGCAGAGGGACACGCCGCAAGTGCATCACAATTATGTGTTTGAACTGCGAATCAGAAGAAGAATGTTTTTTTACAAGGGAAAATAGAGTTTGCGATAGATGCATTATGACGAAGGCTTTAGAGTGTGTTAGAGCCTGTAAAGAATGTTCAAAAAGAGGTCATAGCTGCATATATGGGACTAGGGAAAACTCCGGTCGAAAGTCATCCAAAAAGGAATCGAGAAATGAAACAAGAGGTAAGTCGAAAATTTGGCATCCTTCAATGTTTATGTCGCACTATCTTATAACTTTATATAATTTAATGAACTTAAGAGGTTAATGAGGAAGTCGTTAGTGCTGGTCATGAAAACGGCGACATCTTGGATGCATCTTTGTTTGAGGGCTCGCAGGACTCTCTCGATTCCTCCAAATTTCCCATACCCGAAGATGATCCTATGCTCAATAGTTCTGGAAGTGTTACTATTAATCTCAGTGAAGATACCGGGTGGGACCCCGATAAAACTGTGACGGATAGTAATAACGACCTTAATGATGACGGTTCTGGTGAAACTGAAGCTGGTTCTGTTGTTAACACTGCGATTTATAGTTTTCCTGATGATGACAACTTTGTCGACACCTCTTCTATTGATATCGACGAAATCTCCTCGGAGATCATGTCAATCTTTGCGGCGTGGTTGTTTTCATAGTGTAAAGCAAATGTGATGTGAATTGGTTATTGTTATACTGTGATCGAACTTTGGTTTTTATAAATATAATAGCTTTATCCTGATTGTTATTGGTTGCAATTAAATTTCATATTCTGTAAGTGTAAAACATTACTGATTCATCTTTGCTAGGACAGTAAGTCTTCTTTTGTAATCAACTTTAAAATATAAAATGTGGTTAAATTCGAATGGAAAGATTGTTAAATAATAATTGAGAAAAATTCCAATAACATTTTTAAAAAATATAATAATGATACTATTAATATAAAGTAACCTGTAATTTAAATTATTATATGCAGTATATTTTAAAACTTGAAGAAAATAATTATTCTAATATGTAAAAAAATTTATTATTGTCATTATCCGTATTTAAATAAGCTATAAAATATTTAAAAAAGTTTGTTTATATTTCATTACCAATTATCATTAATAAATATCTTGCTATATAAAAAAAAATAATAAATTTTTTATAAAAAAAAATATTTGCAATTTGCTTTAAAAATAAAAATATTTTTAAGCATTTTATAATTTTTTTTTATATATACAGTATATACCATATGACTCAAAATTAGATTAGATTGTCAATTCATTAAAGAAAAGAATTGTAATAATATTGCAATCAAACTTTTATTTTGATTTATTTAACAAATTATTAATATTAGATATATCTAAATTTAATTTTAAAAGCAATTTATTCTTCTATAATATATTTTTTTTTGTATTTAAATTCTTTTAAATCATATATTATAATTGATAAATTATTATTATTTGATATTTTATAAACCTATTAACAACAAAAAAAATTATTTATGATAATTAAAAAATTTTTAATATTTAAAAATATACAAATATATTAAACTCTTTTGCTGACTCTCTGACTGCATACAAAAAAGATGTTCGCAAGAAGTTTTTACACTTCTTTGCTAATAAAGTCTTAACACTTTCCTTAAAACAACTTGAATTATAACTTCAAGAGTCACTTCTATCCTTCCTCTATTATTTACAAACCTCTTCATTCAAAAACTTGACTTCTAATAACCAAGAAAAGTCAAATAGTATCTTTGATACCAATGGCAAGAAAGTTTCCAAGAGAAGAAAAACTGACTGTGAAGTATCTGAAGGTCTTTTTAACCTTTGAAGCAAGAGGTTTATAGAGGTTTTCTGCAGTAAAAAGGCTTATTTTCTTCCTTTTTAACTATTTTGATCTTTTTAGAACTCCTATATTTACAGTTTTCTGAGGAATTTTGCCTATTTCAGTTTGATCCTAAATTTTGGATAGCTCAAATTCTCATCAAAAGTGATTGGCTGACATGAAACATGTCAGTTTTTGGAATGTAAACAAGCATATATTAGTCCATTTACATGTCTCGATACATTATTGATAATATAGGAAGAAAGTTTCAGAAAAAGTGTCCCCTCTAATTATATATGTTCAACCTCCAAGAAACAATTATAATATCAAAAGGCGAGTGACAGGTAGGAATAAAAGATCCAACTCCTATCTCTCATTAAGTTCCTCAGATAGTGAAAAGATTTTTTTGAACAAAAGCTGAGGTCTCCAAGCTTCTATCTGAGTCAGGCAAAGTTCTTGAAAAGATTTCTTTATCCCAGTCAGGCAAACTCTTCCATAATATAGCGCTGGCCTCACTAGCAAAAAGTAAATCTATACATCGGCAGAAGAATAAGTTCCTCAAACATTCTTCTTGAAGTCACTTTTAGGAATGACTAAATTCCTTAAATGGCATGAAGCTTAGAGAATATTCCAATCAGGTAAACCCCTTTTTAAGAAAAAACTGTGAAATAGAGTAAAAACTTTTTGAAAACTTTGAATTTTATTTCCCCTTCCTCTTTCCCTAGTATCAACTTTAACAATTTATTATTTTTTGGGATAATCTATAGTGACAAACTATTGGCAATGATCCTGGTTGACTTAGAGGTACTATTGTCAAACTACTAGAAGAGTGAAATATTGTCATTTAAATCTGACTTAAAGTATTTAGTTTAAACTTAATTTTGTATATTCCGAACTAGCTTAGTAGACTCCTTATATTTTTTAAGTAATATAGTTTTTTAACTAATAATGTATAACGATAAGTTGATCACTTTGTGAAAGTATGTAAAATATTTAGATATTTCTCAATATCTCAATAAAGATATAGCATTGTGGCATGATTGCGGATTAAAATATATATATATATATATATACAAATATATTAAAAAATAATAATATAATTAATTATTAAAAACTTTTTCCGCTGATCCTCTGATCACACACAAAAAAGATGTTCGCAAGAAGTTTTATACTTCTTTGTTAATAAAGTCTTTATACTTTCATTAAAACAACT